AGAGTCAATGATGAAATCTCGTCTTAAAGGAATAAGTTCCATTTCTGTGCCAGGACACTCTGGGGTGAGAGGGGATGAACGAGCGGATTGGCTTGCTTTCAGGGCTACGGTAGGTACAGGAAAAGTAATGGACCCGCCAGACATTCTTAGTGCTTTCACTGAAGCAGGGCGAGAAGATGATTCAGGAGACGACGTTGAATCGGCAACACTGAAAAGACTACAAGGAATTCAGGTCAAGAGAAGTGTCGCCAAACATGAACACAACACAAGAAGCCAAAGAAGAATAGTAAACCAACACAGAACTGTGGTTATCAGTAGCCACATGCTGGGGGATATTTTGTAGATGGGATCCGAGCGCTTAATGGACTTGTACGATGTGTAGTAGGGATAATCTTTCGATTAACTAACTAATTTAACCAACTTATTTTGTGGTTTAGAGATAAGCTGCGATAGGTAGGTAGGTGCTTTGCTGTAGGGTGTGGGAAGTGGTCGCGTTCAACGAGCATCCCCTAAAGGGGAAGCTTTAGGCTATCATTGTGACTAGGTTATGCGCGCCATATAAACTGGCTTAGCACTGCAAGATCTGAAGAGCACTGAAAAGCACCACTGCAGTATTGATGCGATAAAGGTAGACAGACCCAAATACTGTCCCGACCGGCGAGCCAATGTGATAAGCTGCGATATCTGCGCTCTACCTCCCCCCCCCCCCCACCCTTTTCCACGACTGCAGCAAAACCTTAATTAGTTACTGTTTACAGCATACGTGTTGAGTGGAAGTCGTGGGTCAATTACTACCACACCCCCCCCCCCCTTTTCCAAGCTCACAGAATCAAGGTGGACTCGGATGTGATTTAATTAGTAAGAATCGACACCACAGCGCAAGATGCACAACTATGTTTATGTTTGTTTCTTCGACGGATCAACATCATGGCATACGGGTGTAACCCATAAGTGCTTCGGCGAGGATCCTGAAATACTTTGGGTAGATTTTTAACTCACATTTTGCTCGGGCAGTGAGGCTACTCATTTTCGATTTTTTTTAAACGTGCACAACAATACACATGGGCGTACGATTTTACTACCCAGAGACATGGGAAAATTATTAGAAGTCCACGTGAAAAAATCCCAGCCTTCATGTACAGTCAGACTACTAGTGGCACCATCGCAACTGGAGCTCTTCTCTGGCTGATGAAGGTGAGGATGGCGCGCCTAGGGAATACCCCGAGTGCCGAGATGTCAGTTCTCAGCTCAACACTCAGCAAATGTAGGCTACATACTATTTTTTTTTTACTAATGTTTAAAAATAGTACGCGGGCACAGAAGCTCTTAGATAACACTCTTGGAGCAGATAACACTCCGACCTACTTGCCAGCGACCCACTTTTATTGTTTTTGAAACTATGGCAAAAACAGCACTTCTTCTTCTTCAGAATTCCGAGCCTTTAAAGTTTGTTGCTGCAGATATCACCCACCTCCATTCATCTCTCTGGCTGGCCTTCTCTTTCCAGTTGGTGACGCCAAGTGTTTGCAGATCTGTCTGGACATTATCTGTCCGTCGTCTTCTTGGTCGGCCTCGTGGTCTACGACTATTCATATCCCTTGTGTATACAGTTGTTGTCGGCTCTGTGGCTAATTCGATGCGAACGATGCCGGGTTCGATCCCAGCTGCGGGCCATGCGCCTTGCGTTGGTTTCGACAAGAAAGCCGACCGTCCAGTGCAATGGCAAACTACTGGACGTAAATGTGCCTAGAAAAAAACCCCACAACAGCCAGGGGCTGTTGGGGTTGGTTCTGCAACGTCCTGTAAAGGAAACGCAACTAACCTTATACAGTTGTTACCTCTGATGTCAGCAAATTGTATACACTGTGAGATGATCACATACATTCCTTCCTTTTTCTTCTCCGAGCTGACACTCGGAAGGTCTGACAAGCAAGCCAACAAGGCAGATCCCAGATACCCGGTTCAACCTCGAAAGAAGTTGCAATTGGAGCACGAGTTATAGCTAGATCAGCCTGGAGTAACAGGCAAACGTGTGCCAGTAAGAACAATTACCGCAGTAGAAAGAGAAGAGGTCACATCTAAACTCTAAATGTAGTTCTTCGAAAGACAGGTGAGTTTCTTGGACGGATGAATACAGGACTAGTGAGGAAGCGACATTTAGTCTGTTTTCTTTTATGGGTCTTCGTAAGAAATTTAAGTGGTTAAGTGAAATGAAACAGGACCTTCAGAGAGTAGCATACTGAACCACTGCGGCACGTAGGGGACACGCCCCCCTCCCCCATTATTTTCCGTACATATTAAAAAATTCACATCCCATTGTGAATTGCAAGGTCACATCTGAGGGGTGGGGAATACACCAACTGCCTCCTAAAAAGCATGTTGTAAAAGGCTAATAAAAGGTGTTTCCTTCTAAGTCGGATTGTATCTGCCTGAGAAACAGTCTGTATACAAATAAATCAGATATGTAAAACAGATGTACACGCGAAACTCATGTTCTGAAACTAAACCAAAATTTAAAAGTAGACGAACCACCAGAAATGTACACAGGAGTTTTCAGCTGGTGAACGCGATGAAGAAGAAGAAGATGACTGTCACAAGACCCCAGCCAAATGTTCGGAAGGATCATGGCCTAGATATGAATGGCAATTTGGCAAACACAACTCTTAATCAAAGACATCCACAAGACGGTGTGTTTACACATCATCGATTATCGAACGCTGGCCGCGATGTATCGACTATCACACACACATCGCTGTCACGGAAAATCTGCCTGGTGTGTTTAATTACTTGGTGTTCCATGATGTACGTGGAGAGAGGGGAAGGAAAGTCGGAGGGCTGTTTAATTAATCATGGGACATCACAAGTGAAAGAATGGCTGGGGGCGTCTGCTGGGAACTTTCCGTGGAGGTAAACTACACGGAGAGAAACGGTTGTGATTCCTGAGTGGATGTTACTATACAACGGCGAACGACTAACTAGATCTGCCAGGAGCAAGTAGAGACGAAAATGCAACAGAGTTTTGAAAGCCAAAGTCATGGGCTTTATTCAGTTTAAAAGCTTACCAAAGAATGGTGACCTATAGTAGTGGTAGTAGCAGCAGTAGTAGTAGTAGTGTGAGTAGTAGCAGCAGTAGTAGTAGTGGTGGTGGTGGTGGTGGTAGCAGCAGCAGCAGTAGTAGTAGTTATAGTAGTAGTAGTAGTAGTTATAGTAGTAGTGGTAGTGGTGGTAGTGGTAGTAGTAGCAGCAGTAGTAGTAGTGGTAGTAGTGGTGGTAGTAGTTATAGTAGTAGTAGTAGTAGTAGTGGTAGTAGCAGCAGTAGTAGTAGTACTGGTAGTAGTGGTAGCAGTAGTTATAGTAGTAGTAGTAGTAGTGGTGGTAGCAGCAGCAGCAGCAGCAGCAGTAGTAGTAGTGGTAGTGGTGGTAGTAGTAGTAGTCGTGGTAGTAGTAGTAGTGGTGGTAGTAGTTATAGTAGTAGTAGTGGTGGTGGTGGTAGTAGCAGCAGCAGTAGTAGTAGTGGTGGTGGTGGTAGTAGTGGTAATAGTAATAGTTGTCGTCGTAGCAGCAGTAGTAGTCGTAACATCAGTAGCTACAGCAGCAGCAGTAGTAGTAATATTAGTACTGGTGGTAGTAATAGTAGTAGTGGTAGTAACAGTAGTAGTGGTAGTAGCAGAAGCAGTAGTAGCAGTAGTGTAAGCTATAGTAGTAGTGGTGGTGGAAGCAGGAGGGGGAAGAGGAGGAGGAGCAGCAGCAGAAGAAGAAGAAGAACTAGAAGAAGACACACACAAAAGAGCTTTTCACGTGAGGGAGCTAAGGTGACAAAACAGGTGGCAGGTAAATACTACTTTATATGAGGTTAGTTCTCAGTCATACCCACAAATTATTTCTTAGTTTTCATACATGAACAAGAACACAAGAACATTCAACACCTACATACGTTTTCTCAAAGCACGCACCACCCACCTACACACATTTATACTACGTTTGACTGGTCTTTGTCAATGTTTTAAAAGACTTCAAGAACAATTTGGCAAAACGCTATGAAAGGTTGTTTCTAGCCAGGGTTTGTTGATCTAAATTCTCCACTTCTGGACCAGGCGTCCAAAGGTTCCGCCGCCCAGCTACTGAGCTGAGTGCTTGGTGCGATACTGTGAGCTGAGGGTTTCGTGTCTAATGTTTTTTTTTTTAGCGTAAACTGCACTAAAATGGCGGTTTGCCGAATACGTTTGAAATAGCGTTTAGTTATGTGTTTTCACATGCATAATGTCAGCCTGACTGCCATTTTAGAGTAGGACTGTTAGAGCTGGCACATCTGACAGCTGCCTTACACATTTATTTTGCATGTGCAAGCTTCATGATTTGGCTGGGACCGGCAGGTTTATCACTAGTTTCCAATGAGACAGCGAAGGAAATGTTATAGGACATCTACAGGTCCAAGAACTGAGCAGTTATGGCGCCACTCGCAGGCGTTGGCGATGGAACTTTGACTAGCCACTTGAAGTTTGAACAAAGGATCAACATCATGGCACATAGGTGTAACCCATAAGTGCTCCGTTCTTCTAACTCAAGTCTGAGTCCGAAGACGCCCAGCACAGGCTGTGTAGCACCGGTGAGGATCCTGAAATACTTTAGGTAGATTTTTAACTCAAAGTTTTGCCCGGGCAGCGCCGTTAGGCTACTCTTTTCAATTTCCAACCGCTAAGAGATTTTTTACGTGCACAACAATGCACATGGGCGTCCGATCTCACTACTCAGAGGCCATGGGGAATTACTAGAATTACACGTGAAAAAATCTGAGCCCTTAACAGGGATTGAACCCAGAACCTCTAGCACTTGAGGGGGACATCATGCCTCGAGACCACGCAGCTCCCTATTTAAAATCTTTATAATTACACAGCAATAAACTCTCTCTCTCTCACACACACACTCTTTCTCTCTCTCTTTCTCTCTCTCTCAATCCGCGACAAATCACGATGACAGGTCAATAAATCATACATATAAATTCACCAGATTATTGTCAAGAAAATAAAGATTTCAAACGACGCCGCCCCCCCCCCCCCCACCCGCCTTCTTGTTTTCCCTCACAAATAATGCTATCTGGTAAGATTGATTTTGCCTGCCTTCACAAACAAATTATTTCCAGCAACTACATTCTCCGATAAAAAGCACATACATTCTCCAATAAAAAGCACACAGCAGCAGAACAGGGCAATACGTCAATAAAACATCGATACGTGTGCACCTGAGGGCACGTCGGACAAACCGAGCAGATTTAACAGTAGGAGAGGAGTTATTGATTCATTAGATCACAAGCAATCTCAAAACAAGCGGTTATAAATTGCCAACTTCCAACAAACTTACACGCCCTAATAGTTAACTTTTAATAAAGTTACACATTAATACAAATTGTTCACTTCCAACACACTTGCCAACCATTAAACATTATCAGCTTCCAACACACTTGCCAACCATCAAACACTGTCAACTTCCAATACACTTGTCAACCATCAAACACTGTCAGCTTCCAACACACTTGCCAACCCTCAAACATTGTCAACTTCCAACACACTTGCCAACCATCAAACACTGTCAACTTCCAACACTCTTGCCAACCATCAAACACTGTCAACTTCCAATACACTTGCCAACCATCAAACACTGTAAACTTCCAATACACTTGCCAACCCTCAAACATTGTCAGCTTCCAACACACTTGACAACCCTCAAACATTGTCAACTTCCAACATACTTGCCAACCCTCAAACATTGTCAGCTTCCAACACACTTGCCAACCCTCAAACATTGTCAGCTTCCAACACACTTGCCAACCCTCAAACATTGTCAGCTTCCAACACACTTGCCAATCCTCAAACATTGTCAGCTTCCAACACATTTGCCAACCATCAAACACTGAACTTCCAATACACTTGCCAACAATCAAACATTGTCAACTTCCGACAAACGTAAAACCGTAACAAACTCTAAACATCCAACAAACTTCAACCGCAAACTTACTTCAAAACTGTTAACTTCCAAAAAAACCTACAACTTGTCCTACAGTCAACAAACTTACAAACCATACATTCTACACATCCAACAAATGTAACAAACTAATAGGCTGTTAAATATTCCTAAACATCCAACAAATTAACAAGCCGTAGCAAATTCTCAACTCTCAAGACACTTTCAAACTGTCACAAATTACAAACATTCAATGAACTCGCAACAAACACCCTAACATCCAACTAACTTAGAAGCCGTTATAAATGTGTAACTTTTACGGGACTAACATCCATTAAAAAAAACTTACAAACGATCAAATTTATCCAACAAACCACTAATAAATTCTATCTAAATTCTTAACTTCAACGTCATGTATTCCAAACGCCCAACGAACTTAATAGTTGCCTTAAATTCTAAACAGCTAATAAACTTACAAATCGTCATAAGTCTAAACATCCAAGTAACATTTGAGCGGTTATAAATTGTAAACTTTCATAAAACTTACGAATGTCATACTTTATAAACTTTCTATAAACTAAATCACGTCACGAAGTTTCCAGAAACAGAAAACATAACCGCTGCTATCCCATGAACACAAACAAATCAAGGAAGTTGTTCTGTTGTATCCACTGTTTTCTCTTGTCTCGGTTAGGTATACACACCAGCTGAACTTCTGTTTAATGTATGCTCCTCGATTTAGCCTTCGTTGTCTTTAATGAAACAAGTTGTGCAATCAAAGCTAACACCAGAAACAGCCGAAATCGTGAACACTGTAAAGGCTAGCAGTAGGGTTATTACAACTACACCTGTCGCAGGTAGATTTCAGGTAGAGAAATCACTTGAAAAACCTGCTGGAGGTGTTAAAGTTGTCCTGGATGAAGTTTCGCCACAGCCCGGGGAGCAAGGGGGCAAGCGACACGAGCACACGGAGCTGTCCCTCCTGTCTGATAGGAGGTGTGTGACACACGACACATACCAGTGGTGTGTGTGTTGGTGGGGTCTGACTGAAGGTATGCGAGGCGAGCTCAGGTGACGGGGTTTTTACCTTGTTTGTACCAGCGAACTGGTATCGCTAGACGCTGCGTGTGTTCATAACACATTTCAGGTTTGGGGACATCTTGTCTTTGAAAAAGGAGCGGGGGTAAGATTGCTTTTAATTTAATGACTGTGAAAGGTCGGGGTAATAGTCTCCCCGTACGGATTGTGTGTGTGTGTGTGGGGGGGGGGGGGGCACACTGACTCATAACAAACATGTATTAATAAGAAGTGTATTGAAATCAGGTGCGTTTGACCAAAAGGCGCAGACTAGCTGTAAACCACAACTTAAGATACACTGGCACATAACAGACATGTCGTAAATACAATTAGGGGTGTATTGAAATCAGGTGCGTTTGACCAAAAGGCGCAGACTAGCTGTAAACCACAACTTAAGTCACATTGACCCATAATAAACATGTAAAAACAATTAGGGGTGTATTGAAATCATATGTTTTTGACAAAAAACGCAGTCTAGCTGTAAACCACAACTCAAGACACACTGGCCCATAACAGACATGTCGCAAAAACAATTAGGGGTGTATTGAAATCATATGTCTTTGACCAAAAAACGCAGCCTAGCTGTAAACCACAACTTAATGCCACAATTATTCTACGAACGGTTAAAGCGTGGGGTTTTGATACGGAAGACCTGGGTTCAAAAATAAACGTCATAACCTGTACAGTCCGTGGCTTTAAGCCCCCAGGCTCACGACCCAGGGCTGCCAAAGGACTTTTGTTTTTAAACCCCGCTAATCTAAACAAAAAAAACCCAAGCAAAACATAGGGAGAAAACAAAAACCCAGATTGTTAAAAAGTACAAATTTTTATAGTTACGAAACGAAACATTTACCCACTTTTATATAAGGATATTTTTTTAAAACCCAGATTTCAAACTTCGAACTCAAGGCGTCAAATAAAAACCCAGATCAGGGGATAAATACCCATCATTGGCAGCCCTGTCACGACCTCCTGTCTACACTGCCCTGAGAAATTGGATACATACAGACAGTAGTGGAGATTTCCTCTTTTGTCGTCTCAAAGATACCAGATTGTAGCCCAGTGTCGTGGTTTTCTGTATTTGTCTTGCGCTTCTATGGCTTGGGTAATGGATTTTGTAATCCTTTTGCGAGTTTAGGTTACACCATTTATCCATCTCTTTCTTGGTCTTCCTCCCAGATGTTCTGCTGTAAAAAGTTGTTTACGCGTTTTGGTCTGGCTGCATTTTCACCGTTTCATTATTTGTTTGTCAAGGTGCTGTTCAAGTTTCCAGGCCAAGGATTTAGAGTAACTTCCCTTGCCATCCATGCCTCGTTAGGTCGCTGAACATCTCCTATTTTACAGGGGAGTCACGTTTTCCTTATTGTGAACGGTGTAACCGTTGCCTCCTTTTTCGTCCTCTCACTGCTCACTTGAGTGATTATTTTCACGCTCTCCTACCTGCATGACGGTTCGGGAGTATGGAAACAATGATAAGTTTCTATTTCTACACTCCTTGTAACTGCTTTCTTGGTAATCTTAGTTTCAGCATCATAGCAAACGAGTCACCTCATAGTTGCTCCGCTCCTCTGCCAACGAAAAACACACAGTATGTTCGTCGCAGTCCCTTGTGGAAAGATTGACAGACTGCTGTCTCAGAGTATGCACTAGCATACACACGCATTAAAAGCATACGGTAGCCATCAGAGGTGCTAACACAAACAGTTTGACATTAGAAATGCAGTTCATCATCGACGGTAACAGAAGTCGCCAACAGATTGGCAGTTGCGCACGCGATCAATATTAATCACATAAGGGCACCACCAATATTGCAGCGACAGGAAACGCGCCATTTTCTGAATCTACAGTTCAGAACACTACGTTGGTCACAGTCGAAAAACATTACAAATGAAATCCGCAGCTCACAGGGTCGCGCCATATACTCAACTCAGTAGCTGGCGCGACGAAACTGTATCCTTTAAGTCTACAAATGGATCAGAAACTGCTTTTTATCTCTCGGGGGAAGCCACTGCTTACGAACGTAGAAATACAAAAACATCCCAGTGTCGATAGCCAAGGATCGTTGCGTCTGCGGCGCCTCGCCCTGTAGAAGCCTACGGGGCCTGAAATAGACTCACAACAACACAACCTTCCACAAACATTACATACGCCGAGCGAACGCTACACCAATCCATATTATAACACCCCCGCAACAGAGGAGAGGTCCAGCGACTTAAGGAGGCATGAATAGCAAGGGAATTTACTCTAATCCTGGGCCTGAAAACGTGAACAGGTCCTATGTCAACGTAATCCGGGCATGGTCTTATTCCGACTTTCTCTCTAAAACTGGTGCTCTTATCACTGTCTCTGAAAAATGAGTCGAAAAAGAAACAGTAGCTACTGTGGTTCATCATCGTGTGTCATGCCGAGTGATGCTGAGGATCGTTTCCCTGATCGAGCGATTGTCTCCAAGGCGAAGTGGTTAAGACGTTTGCTTCCATTTTTATGAGCTGGTTACCAGACCACTCTTCCTGGTGGCCTCCATGTAGTAGTATGAGTAAAGGACTGGCACCTCCACATCGTAAGGAAACCGGCGCCGCATCTCGTATGTCTTGAGTTTGCAATGTGTGAATGCTAACAGCCTACACTCCATCGGCAGTAACTGGTAGGAGGCTACCTTTGAAATCGTTCAACACCAAGCACCCAGGCAAGCAACAACAACAACACACACACACACACAAAGGAGGGGGGGGGTTCATTTCGTAATAATCACCGTGTGGAGGGGGTGGGGGTGCCCCAAACCATGCCCTCCTCACCACCTAGCAAATGTTCTAGGCAATAGCTTTGTGGGAAGGGAAGGGGGAGGCAGTCAGGCATTTGAGTGCTCTATGAAACATTTTACAAATGGAAAACAAAATATTACACGTCCCCACTCCTATAACTGTGTAAAGGGGCTAAGATGCCCATCTGAAAGGAAGGGGGGGGGGGGTGTGCGCGCGCATAAGACGGCAAGCGAGTATAAGAAAACGAACGAGTGTGAGAAAGACGAACAAAGAAGTGAGAGATGAGAGAAAAACAGGACAGACAACCAACTAGTGTGAGAAAACTAACGAGTGTGGGAAACCCAGGCACAGAGTCGACGAACATGTGTGAGACGGCCACAGTGTGTGGGAAAACCAGTCAAATGATATTATAGGATAGCAACGAGAGACGGACACGGCCGACAGAGGTAGACAGACACAGATACACTAACAGAAAGACTGCGAAAGAAAAAAAGAGACAGACGGAGACAGACAGAGAGAGTCAAGAGACAAGCAGAGAGAGAGAGAGAGAGACAGAGAGACAGAGAGTGAGAGAGAGAGAGAGACAGAGAGTGAGAGAGAGACAGAGAGTGAGACAGAGAGAGAGAGACAGACAGACAGAGACAGAGACAGAGAAAGATAGACAGAATGTTTTTCCCTCTGTAATAATCCCCGTGTAGGTGCCGATGCTCCCTTACGGGGAGAGAAACCTATAATAGACATCACTGCCCCCTACCAAGCATGTCGTGAAAGGCGTCTAAGTGAGAGTTGCCGGAAATCGGACTGGTTGAGCCAAAAGGCGTAGATATCGCAGCCTAGCTGTAATACACAAGTCAGAACTAACTAGCACCAGTCTTCGGTACTGTGTTGCGTATTCTACACCAACACGAGGATTCTATGCATGCGTCATCATCATCATCATCATAGTTCCTTTGCAGAACATCGTCGGTGTTGGGGCCCGACCGGAAAGGCTCGGTCTTTCTGCAGATAGCCTTCTCGACATTTTTGGGAGTGGGTGATATTTTCATTACAGTGCACAGTCACTGGAACCTACGGGTTCGAGTCCCTTGACACCCCCCCCCCCCCTCCAACAAAAAGATTACAACAAAAGGGGGCGGGGGGACTGAGCCCTAATAATTATGTGAGGGTTCTAGTCTAAGAGGCTCCCTTTACACATGTATCAGTGAGCGACCTTCAATCACACAACCAGTGATTAACAGCCGATAACATAAAGTGCCACAATTCGGATGGGAATCACACAGAAACCCCGTTCAACCGCTAGGGTATTTAGGGCCCCGGGACGACAGCCAGGATGGGGGATTTAGAAATACCCCCCCCCCCCCCCCCCACACACACACACACACACAATGCCTCCCACAAAGTTTTATCTCAATTAACCATGCAAAAAAATGTTCTTGAATGTATTTATGTCGTCATCATCAATTTCCACTTCTGCCGTTAAGCGTTGAGGGAAGGAGCAGTTTGTGATCCATTGCTCGATGGGCAGCATTAGCAACTGTCAATCCGTGTCTATGTAGAAGCTCTTTAATGTCATCAATCCATGATCTCCTAGGACGGCCTCTTGATTTCTTTTTGGATCTTTTCATGTGTAGCCCCCACGTCGATAGTTGTTCTGTCTGCATTCTTACTAGATGACCAAACCATTCGATCTTTTGTTTCTTAATAAATTTTCTGCATGTTGTTGTTCCTACAGCCTGACTGACTGACTTTCTACCACATCAGGACATCACTCAAGCGATAAACACCCGATGACACAATGTGTCACCATGTGGGCGAGGATCACCGTGGAGAGGTCCCAGAAACCGCGTTCACCCTCTAGGCCATATTTATGCGGCCCCTGGCAAGAACCAAAGTAGGGCTTCAAATAACGAAAAATTACATCCTAAAAAGGACGGAAAAAATGAATTATATCCTACAGCCTGTCTAATATCATCTCTAACTTTGTCTCGGATGGTTAAGTTGGCGGCTTTATATGTATTTCATATTCTTTCAAGAATACTGTTATTTTTATACATCATTCGGCACATTATTAATGTTTATTCGTAATAACAGTTAAGATTCTCTCACTGTCACGAGGTAGTCCATCTTTTACAACGTGAACGAAAGAATTTCTCTTCCTAATGCGGATAATCAGTTATCTACACTACAACACGGGGAAAAACCACCATCACGTTGGTAGCAGATAATCTCCCCTGCGTGACAGATTCACTTCTATCATTATTTCCCTGATTACGCTGCGGCTCCGTGATTTTTGTAAATCGGGTGGATTTTGTACCGGATCCGCCGCCAGGTTAATTAAACGAGTCGATCGAGGGAGTTCACTTTCGTTTAACGTGACGTTACTAATGATAACATGCACATCAGATACAACAGACAGTGAAGTTCATACTAGAGACAACAGATAAAGATAATCTATTTCAAGCGAACGAAAGAAGAAGTAGAGTGTCTCGGCGTTGTTTGTGGAGACATTACAAAACAGAGAGGAAACCAGTGAGGCCGTAGAAATATTAAATATATATATATACTGACTGGCACTGCAGAAAGAAGTAGAAAGATAGAAGGACACACCAAACAACATAAAAATCGAAAGCTGTCGTTACCGTGCCGGGAATCGAGCCTGTCACCTCCAAGTAGCGCGTGCAGGCTGATTCAAAGGATCGGAGAGGTCCTATAACGGACAGTATGTCAATGGTTAAGATAGCCAGAAGAAGAAGAAGAAGTTTATATCTCCCTCGACATCCAAAGCGGTAAAAGAGGAAGTGAAGAAGAAGCAGCAGAAGATTCAAAGCTGGTAGTTGTTCACGTTGAACGGCTGTCACAAAAACTACACCTTATGATGCTAGAGTTAATTCAAGGATACTTTCAGAATGTGATATTTCATATAAATATGAAATCAGAATTCTGAGATAAAAACAACAACATCTTAACCACACCAATCCTTGTGTGAGTTCAGGAGTCCCCTGGTGACAGGGTGGGGGAAAAAGGGGAGGGGGGGGACCTGCCACCCTCTTAAAAGCAATTAGTGAAAGACTAATGAGGAGGGGGAAGTTATTAAAAGTTCTCAAAAAGAAAAAAGAAATTCTAATTGACTGTATTACACAGCATAATCACTGTGTTTTAATGTACCCGCGTCCGTGGCTAAGGCGTTGCGAGTCCGACTCGTAAGCCAGCATACCGCGATCGAAACCCACTGCAGACTGCGTGGATTTTTATCGTGGTATGGGACGTCGCAGGTCGAACCAGCCTAAAATGGGTACCAGGGTGGGCTGTCCTGGGAAAGTAAAGACAGCCGGCGTAATGCTGACCACATTACCCACAGAGTGCTGATGGTCTGTAAAAATATGGGACGCTCTGCCCATATGCCCGATGCGCCGAAAGGCGTAAAAAAGGGAACTTTACTTTACTTTATGTACCCAAGCCTATATTTGATGTATCTGGTAATAGGTGACTGCGTCTGTAACATGGGGTTGTGACTCGAAATAGGCTGAGAACAAGTGAATAAGGAGCTTCAAATGCAAATCTCATACTTGACCTGTAAACCAAACTTCGACGTTTCAACAGCCATTTTAAGGGTGAATGTAGAATAAGAGAACCCATAAGAATATAAAAGAAAGGATGACCGAACAAAAACAAGAATGCTGGTATCCCGAGACTTGCAACACAATGGCTGCATTCTCCTGTTCTCCTGTAACATTTGCCTGACCTATGAGCAACAACCCGGTAGAAAAGGTTGACACTGTTTACATAATCAAATTCCTAAATGACACATTACATGCCACACATGTCTGTGAGCTGCTCAGGCACAGTGCCTAAGTGTGTAGTAGTAGTAGTAGTGCTCCACTAGGGATGAGTTAATTAGGATAACGGCTAATGCAGTCAGTCATCTGTAGGTGTTGATTTCATGCCTAGTTATATGTTAGACACAGCACCGCTTGGTTAATATAAATTTTTGTAACCTACTGTGCTATTTAACGGCACAAGTGGTACATACAGGCAGTAATAGCAGTTCAGGGACTGGGTGGTCTTGAGGTATGGCGGCTGCCTCAAGTGCTGGGGTCATGGGTTCAAATCCCTGGAAGATCTTGGATTTTTTCACGTGGACATCTAGTAATTTTCCATGGTCTCTGGGTATTAGGACCGGACCCCCGTGTGTATTGTCGCGCATGTAAAAAATCCCTTGGCAGTTGGAAATCGAAAAAGAGTAGCCTAACGGCGCTTCCCGGGCAAAATTTGGAGTTTAAAAGTATTTCAGGATCCTCACCGGTGCAACGGAGTTCAAGCACTGCGCTGAGATTCTTCAGACTCAGGTTTGAGTCAGAAGTAGTACAAAGCACTAATGGGTTACAGCCGTGTGCAGTGATGTTGATCCGTCGACTAAACTAAAAAGTATTAGCAGTGTCAGCAGCAAAACAGGGAGATCTTGCCTAAGGATATACAGCCATGTGGCTAATGTAGTCGAAACTACAAGTTAGGATATTTATTTTTGCCGAAACGGAGAACTAGACAGAAATTGATAAAAAAGAATATAATCAATGAGGTCACTGCACCATGTCTGCTGGATTTCAACATCTACCTTTTATCCCCCAATGAAGCATAGATCCTCAAACAACTCATGCCAAGATGTCCTATCCTTTGCTATTGCTTGCAGCTCACCCCCTGTCCTTCCTATTTTTTTTTTTTCACTTCACGCTCTAGTTCCCTTCTTCGTGTTTTTTTTTTTCATGCTTTTATTTCTAAGCTCTTGGGGGTTTCAGTGCAAAGGCAGTTTTTTTCTAAGATTTTCTAAATGAGTGTCCTATCCAAAACCAGCATCTGTTCTTCACCTTCTGATTCACTGGAATTTGTTTAGTTTTCTCCTAAACTCAACAACAGTGATTAGCAAATGGATTAAATTCAGAAAGCCAAGAGGTGAAACAGAACAAGATCACAGTTCCCAAGGTCACAGTTCCCAAGGTCACAGTTCACAAGGTCAGTTCCCATAGTCACAGTTCACAAGGTCACAGTTGTACTTACATAGAGCCTGTAAACCCCCTAGGGCACGTACAGGTGAAGGTTGCCAAACCATCGACACAGACCCCACCATTCAGGCAGGGACTAGATGCACAGTTATCTGGATTGTCTTCACACAGCTGACCCTCCAATCCTGCTGGACAAACACACTTGTAGTCATTCCACAGGTCGACACAAGATCCTCCATTCAAGCAAGAATGACCGGCACAGGAATCTGCCCCATGGCAGTTGTTAACGATACTTTCAACGCGCTGGGCAAGGAACTTGTTACTGGCATTGTTATTTTTAAATGTCTCGTCTTGGAAAAATGGCATCAGTTGGCTGCCCATCCTGACTTCTCGGAGACAACCATTGAACCCTGCCTCCCACTGAACGCTGCCTTTTTGACGACCTGAACTTCCAAGGATTATCTCACCATCCTTCAGCATCTCCTCAAAAGTGAAGTTAGCTCCTCCCAAATCCACAACATCAGTCTCATCCAGCAAGACTGCATCTTGTAGAACTTGTAACCTAATTTTTGTTCCGTTAATAACTTCAAATCTTCCTCCATGCCACCGACCATCATCAACCGTCCTGCCGGACTTTGTTACAGACGATTTTGAAAATTCTGAGGACAGCTTCCAGTTCATCTCCAGTCTCCCGTTGGCTACACGCACTTTGAAGAAATGATCCCCTTTACGTAGGAGAAAGATGAGGCCAAATAACCCCCTGGTTCGGAACTGAAAAGTGAGCACAGGTTCGGGGGTGGATCCAGAGATCGTGTAGGTCACGATGCTGTTGTCAGAGCTGAAAGATGCTGTACTGCTGCCTGAAACATGACAAAAACATGACACTTTGGTGAAAGTGATGAAATGTGATCAAAGATAAAAGTAAAGACATTTTAAATCCCTTATGTGGGTTCTGGAGCTCCCATTTTGAGAAGACAAAAAGGAAAAGCCAACTGCCACCCTAAAAGCATGTCATAAAAGGCGACTAATCAGGGTTGTTTCCTTCATAGTCAGTGTGCAAATACCTGAGAGGGGAGAAACCAACATTCTGCATGCAAGTAAGCCAGATTTGTAAAATGGATGCCCATACAAAAGTCAAATTCTGGGAAGCAGATGAATTAGAACTTTCCCCCAGTGTTTACAGCTGGTGAAGATGAAAAATAGGAAGTGAATAAATTTTAGAAATTACAATTATAAAATATTATTCTAGATGACAGTGAAGAAACCTGACAATAAATGTCAGTACTGAAACAGGAAATTAAATGACAATGATGAAACATGATGATGATGAAATATAGCAGTAGTTAAATATGATCACGACAACATACAGCTCTAAATGGACGTGACACAATATGAATACTTAATGTTCAGTATGACATTTGCTGCAGTGCTTGTTAATTTGTTGGATGATAAGGATTCAGGAATTACTTTAAATTACCGTACAGATGGCCCCTAACAAGAGCACAGGAGAAAAAGATCACGACGTGCGAAATGAGATGCTTACGTAAGGCTGCCAATGTCACAAGGAGAAACAGAGTTCGAAACGAGAACATTAGATCAATTGTAGGAACCACACCATGCCTGCAATACATAAAGAAGCAACAAATCGAGTGGTTTGGCCACTTGATGCGAATGCAAACCGACCAACTGCCTCTACGAGCAGACAACGAACAACACTACTGCCCTAGAGCAAGAGGCAGACCGAGAGTACGATGGATAGACAATATATCAGAGATCCTGAGGCAACACGGACTAACAACAACACATGCAACACACCTGGCCCAGGATAGAAAACTGCGACTCCCCACTACGCTGTGAGGCAATTGTGGACAAGACAAGACAGATGGCAACTTGTTTAATTTGAGGAGGCTTTGAGCTAAAACACAAATAACGAAAACAACTAAAATTAACCTTTTTTTTTTTTTTATTTGCTGACAAATGTGCTCTAAACTCCAGCTCTGAGGCCAGTATGCAGCACACCATCAACAGATTTTCTGAAGTCTGTAGCAACTTCGAGGTCTGTAGCAACTTCGAGCTAACTATTAACACTGATAAAACTGTTGTTATCTATCAACTGGCTCCCAGAAAAAAACGAATGTGACCCCATTAACACTGAAAATGATCAAAAGCTAAATGTAGTCGACAGATTCACTTTTGGCAGTACCCTATCTCAGAGAGTCAACATCGACGATGAGATCAATGTTATAATCTCAAAGGCCAGCAGCAGTTTCGTCAGACTTTATACCAGTGTCTGGAACAGAAGAAGTGGTTATCTCCCTGCTGACCAAGCTAAATGTTTACAAAGCTGTAATTCTTCCAGTACTGCTCTACGTTTGCGAAACGTGAACTGTATATCAGCGCCATGCTAAAAAGCTGAATCGGTTTCATATAACTTGTCACAGAAAGCTGTTCAAAATCAAAAGGCAAGAGAGGATCCCAAATACTGTAGTTCTTAATAGGGCAAACCTGCCTAGCATCCACACGATCATCGCCATCATCAGGTGCTTTGCCGACTGGCGTGGGCGATCATGCCTCTCCATAATCTGCGATCTCCTGCAGCATGTATCACTTCGGGTGCCGACACACCTCCATGCCATGCAACAAGACTGACAAGCATCTTCTCTCGTTGTCTTCCTCTATCCCTTTTTCCACAGATCTGTCCAGTGGTCACAACATGTTCTATTTTCCCTCTTCTCATAACATGGCCGAAAAATGATGACTGTCTCCTTCTGATGTCTGTGATAAGTTGTTTTCGGGCTCCCGCCTCTTTCAAAATCTCTTGGTTGCTCTTTTTGGCTGTCCAAGGTATTCTAAGCATTCTTCTGTAAAACCACATCTCTGAGGCCTCTAAAAGTTGTTTGGCCTGCCTACCGATTGTCCAGGATTCACATTCATATGTTAAAACTGGATGTATGTAGCAAGCAAGAATTCTTTTTCTAACTCGTAATGACAAGGATATATTGCACAAGATGTTTTTCATTTTATAAAATGCAGTTTAAAATGCACACGATACTGAAGAATTATCAGCTGCATTGGACTGGTCACCTAGCCCACATGCCAGACCATCACCTATTTTATAGCGAGCTACAGCAAGGAAAGAGGTCCCAGGGAGGATAGAAAAGGCACTATAAAGACACTCTCAAAAGCGCTCTCAACTCTTCTGGCATTAACACAGCAACATGGGAGGCTGCTGCACAAGGATGGTGTACATCCCTCAGGCATGCTTGCCAGGCAGCGGAGGTTGCACCGGCAAAGAAACGGAGGCAGACTAGAAAGAACCGTATCGCTAATGCCACACTCTCTGCGGCTATCAGCTGTTGTCTGCACTGCTCAAGAACTTTCCAGGCTTATACTGGACTAATAAGCCACCTTTGCACTCATAATCACTGATCATTACTATTTTAGATGAAAAGCAGTCTTCATCACTCGTGAAGGATAAACAACAACTTAATATCAGTAATGAAATAGCTTCTGCCTCTTATTCTTAACACTGACAGGCTGTTAACTACTGTAGGGAACTTCTAGTTGATCTGAACTTTGGTCCTGTTTCAAAACTTGAGTTCTGCATGCAAATCTATTTTTCAGATCTGGTTTATTTCCTCTTAATTTCTGCTGATGTGAAAGCCAATGAGAGAGCAGAGGCTCTAGCTAGCAGTGCCACTATCAGGAATGGGCCCTCTATGGACAGGAGAGACATCATCAATGCCATTTGAGAGACTAAACGCTGTGAGACTTTCAGTTTCGTGGACACGATTTTTCACCGAATAGACTGCATAACCTGCAGCTGTGAGACAGGAAAACCATACGGGCACCACCCGTTGTTACATCAGGCAGAACAGAATGTCAGTTGTTAGCCCACAAACAATTGGAGACACACTCAGCAGGAGAACAGAGCAATTATGGTCATGTCCGATGTGTAATGAAGATGAACTATAAAATAAACAATGGCCTATTTGTATGCAAACTGCTGGTTCATATTGTTTCAGAAGTCTGATGCACTCAGATTTTGTAGGACACTCAAATTAGTTGACTTTTGTGACATGTTTGTTAAGAGGCCAGTGGGTCTATTTTTCCCCCCCCCCTCCCCCCCCCCCCCCCCCCCAATGGGGTTCCATAACAGACAGAGGGAGTAAAGAAACACGACAACAGATGACAGTACCCTAATATGATGATAGTGGAATAAAATCTTCCCTCTGTGGGCTCTGGGGCCCCATTCTGAAGGGGCCAACTATCCTCCAAATGAACATGTTATAAACAGTGACTAATTAAGGGTTTGCTGAAAATTGATGTTTTAGGACAAAAAAGCATAGAAATCACAGCCTAGCTGCAGACTACAAAACATTATACCAAATACCTCTTTAGGGGCAATTGAAGAAAAAGAAATACAGTCCTAGATCCCAGTGATGAAATCTTTTTCTTCTTCACTTTCTCTTTTACCACTTTGGGTGTTGAGAGAGATAAAAGGTTCTGCTTCTTGTTCTTCTAGCCACATTCACATCAGACATGTTATACTGTTGTAGAGTTTCTCTGATGTTATCTTTCCATCTTGTTCTTGGTCTACAAAACTCTCCTCTTTTAGCATATGCCTGCTATGGTAAAGCATAACAAGGCATTCTATCCAAGTGGGCAAATCATTTAATTTGCTGTCTTTGTATGTAATTTAGAACAAGCTCTGAGTTTACTTTTTCATGTATAATCCTACCCTAATTTTATTTATTCTGGTCACTCCTGCAGCCCTTCTCAAACATCTTATTTCCTGATGACTAATTTTCTGGCATTATTTATTATGAATGACCATGTCTGGCACTGGTAGCATAAACCAGGAATAAATATGCTTTACACAAGATCAGGACTAACTGCCTTATGCTGTAAGAGAGGAGCTAATGATCCAATACTTGGTTTCCTTGACTGCATCGGATGTTCACTTCTTCTTCCAATGAACCATCTTCACTGAATGTTGTTCCCAAATATCGTAACTCTGATGCCTGTTCAGTCCTTTACCACTCTGCTGATGCTGGGTTCATTTCTGAACACAGTCGGACTTTTTGAAACACAACCTTGGCCAGCCCAGCCTTAAATAGGTACCAGGTAAAGTCCTGGGAATTAAAGGTGG